CTGCGAGGTAAAATGGTTCCTGTGCTGTGATTCCACGTGTATATCCGGATAACTGGATTTTTCGAAGTGACGACCATGTGCGCCAAATTCAAGCACATCTACAAGAAATCTTCTCTCTTCTCTCGCGAAATAGTGCACCGCCTATTAATTAAGCTTCTTGCAAGATGCTGATAAGTAGTGTGTCATCGATGCTTTAGAATTGAGAATTACAGTATATAGTAAGAAATGAACGCTGTGAGAGTCCCGTAGGACTAACGAGTAGGATATGCTGAAAGGCATTCATGAATGTTGTTTTGTTTTGTAACGTATATAATCTAGGCTAATCAAGAAAAGTTTGTTTTTGTGATTCAATAAATGTATATTTAAAAGAGAGCTACTGACTCATGCATGCCTTATTGGGTAAGTCATTTTATTCTTATTATTAAAGATCATGCAATGTACTAACCACTAAATTTTAGTTTAACTATCTACGCGAAATTAATTCGCATTTGATACTCTTAGTATCGTTACTTTGATACGATCACGGCCAACAACACCACAATATTGAATGTTTTTTGTGATACAATGTGCATTGTGCCTTACCAACGAACAACGTATGGAGTTTTCTTTGAGATCTAAAAAGACTTCCGAATGCAATAAAGTGCTTTTGCGGAAACAGTAATCTTTAAATAAGTAAACAGTATGATACGTTCTTTTTAAGTAAACTCTTACTAGCTGTGGTTCCTAAATTATTCTGAGGAAGTGGCTCATGAATTTAATCAATACTTAGACGTATGATTAATGTATTGGATTGAGTTGGATATTCTTGTACCTGTGCCTCAGAAATTTTTCTCTTTCTCTAAAAGTTTTTTTTTTTTTTTTTTTTTTTTTTTTTTTTTTTTAATAGAAAACATTTTTCAAACTTCCGATGACATTCTAAATTGCTAGATCACATGTAAACAGAAACATATTAAAATACAGTTTTAGAACTGTAAACATAGCTGAATTAGAAAACTTTTCAACTCAGCTACAGCCATTTTCTAAGCATTCGTTGCTCGTAATCCTCGCGAATAGTATAACCATCCATTACAAATTAGAGTTCAACTTTGCCCGAACTCAGCACCATTGTTTCAATATGGCATCAGGAAGTCTCTCACCTTTCCTGAAACTTAAGGCTAAAATGCATATGGAACCAATGAAACAAAAGGACGACGTCATCAGGATTGTTTGGGAGGAGTTGAACAACCCGATGGGGACAATTTCCAATAATGTATCTATCCTCTTAAGAAATGATCGTGTCAGATAATTTTATGAAAAAGTTCCGAAGAACTATGCTTATTATGGAAAGAAAAATTTATTTTTATAAACTTAAACTGAGTTTCGTGTTTCCCAAAATATAGACCTATATAAGTCATTAAAAAAGTCATTAAAGTAAAATCGTTTATCGTAAAGTGTTATTACATTCTTCAAAAAATAACAAATACTCAAGAAAAACAGTGTCAAATTGCAATATCATAAAATAACATATTTTCATTGAAATTTCGCTCTTTGAAATGGCAGTTAGCAATAAAACAAAGTCAAATCCAAATTTTTCATAATGGTGGAAAATGACAACGGCACAATTAATGAGCATTGAATGGAATTTCAGGTTAGCATTTTCTGGAACGCATATCTTGGACATAGTTATTTGAGAACATTTGAGAATATAGCTAGTAAATGCTTATTGCGCGAATATTAGAATGTTGTAACATATACGGCGAGAATGGTTGGACGATCGATGACAGCCCAATTAATTTGCAGCGTGTGATTGCGGTTGCGACACTGTGAAATAGCAGCTGAGGTGAAAAGGGCGACGACGTGTTTTCGCGAGCTCCCGTTTTTACTGTTTTTTCCCTAGGATATAATAATTGCATCACAGCGAAAATAATATCATCGGCTAGCTCCTCACAAGCTGCGCATTTTGATATAAAAATTTATGAGTATCCGCCTATTAGTGCCTTAATATCAAGCATATTAAAAGGGGAGTCATTGTTTGTCTCGCGACCTCCGACCCCTATTGTGGAATGCGGATTTTGGAGCGAAGTGCGGATTTGCAGTGTTTACTTCCAAAGCGATATCTCCGGATTTAATAGGCATCCAACTTCAATCTAAGTACCATCGAAAAGTGAAAGACCTGCTCTTTTCAACGATACCACTGTCGTATATGTGAGGTGTTTGTGCAATTTACTACAGTGTGTTAATTCTGTGATGTTTTAGTGCTAATTTTTGGATTAATACACCTGCATCTTCGGCCTGAGTTGTAATATCGGTACCATTCCTGGACAGCAAGGTAGGCCATAAAATTGTCTTTAATTTGATACCTCACTTGTCTTAATAGCACAATTAGTAGCTGAGTGTCATCCGTTTTAATTACATATCTTCTGTGTGACCTTGCACTTTCCTTCCCCAGCACCACAGACCTGACTTGATTTTTAGTCGTAGGGGCACAGGGTCGGACCAGCAGGACAGGTCACTTATCGCGGTTGTCTGACGACTTCCTGTCACCCCTTCTAGAGCGCATGCGCGTCTAGTCTAGTGGAGTGTGGTTGACAGTCGCCCTTGCACGTGTGTTTGTTTACGTTACGTTTAGTACTTTGCTGTTTTGAGCGTAGCTCGCCACCAGTGTCCCTTTTGATACGTTTCTGCTGTTTACGATTGACATTCTAGCGACTTTATCTACGCACTTATCATTCCCACTATCCCACTGTTACGTGGATGTTTTTCTAATTGTTAATTGTATTTATTTATTTATTATTATTATTACTATTTTTTTTTATTTAATTTTTTTTTTATTTTACCGTTGCTTTATGAGTACCTATTCTAATATTAATAACTATTAATATTGCTGTTAGTTTTATATCTCTGTGTGTAAATCCTTTGTATTGTGCACTGTGTTTATGATTTGTAATAACTCCCACAAATGTGTTATATAATTCTTAATCTCTGAAATTCTGTTTCGTATTAAGGTTATGCAAAAACTTTCACTTGTTTTTATTATATCTGTTATATTGTCCACATTTCCTTCAATTACGATTGTTTTATATGCTATTTATAACTGTTTTATTATCCTCATATCCTTCACTCACGATTGTTTTATATGCTTCCGTTCAGTGATTTTGTGGCTAGGAGTATTATCTTTGTTACTATTGCCTAGAACTGTTATGGTGTAAAAATTAGCATTATTTTACATTTTACATTTTATTTTACATTTTAATACATTTTACATTTTTAAATAACTCTCAGCACATTCAGATTTTAATGCCAAAAGTATTTCTGTGTGTAACGCTTTCTTACGCACTTGATTCTGTAGTGTTTTCCACGTGCTCCTTATGCGCACTGCTTTAGTAATATCTCATTTTAGTTATTAAGTTGACCGTATATTTCTCTGTGTTTCCCTGCGGTTTCACTCACTATAGCATCGTACTCAGGGACCCTTGATACTCAGTTTTTACTTATTACTCTGTGACTCCTTTATGTGCCTACGACCCCACTGTTTATTTCCCGTTATCTTGTACCAATGGCCAATGCAATGCAAAGGATTTAGGCCCCTGCCTCATCATCCTCCTCAGTAGTGTAAAGTCAGCATCGCGGGCACCTCCAACTTACTCATATGAAATAACTACTAATTAGTAAGATTACGGTGTGATACAGTGCATGAATTGCGATTTCGTGTTGCATTGTCAAAGTTTTACAGTACATCACAGAAAGTACTTTAGTGTTCGTGAACTTGAGCAATTTTTGAATTAGTGTTCCAACGCACTCCTTCCGCGAGTAATTAGTAAAATTAGAGAGTAACTGCTTCTTTTATGCCATGCCCCGCTCTTCTGTGTTACCAACAGAAATAGATAATACGGGTGCTCAAGGCCCTGTTGACCCTACTGCAGTACTAACTGCGGACTTGACACACGAGGAGAGAGTTGCAACCCTTTACGAGGACATTAGACAGGCTGCTACAGCCTTCAGGAGTAATAAATTCTGTCTGTCCTAAAGATCCTTAGAGACCGACTTCAAGCCTCTTTAGATGCTCTTAAGGAATTAGCGTTAAAAGGTCCCGCATACGAGTCGAGGCCAGACAAAGCAGACGTTGGCACGAACACCTCTACTTTCGTCTGCTATATGCCAAGCGGTACATACGCAGCCACCCCTATCTCCAACTCAACAGGTCAATAGTGAAAGATTACCACTGCCCGGAACAGCCAACTCCCCTCCGTCGTTTTGCTGAAGTCCTCCGGAAGACAAATAAGCCGAGCCTAGTTATCAAACCCCTCTGCAAGCAACCAGTAGGTGAACTCAGGAAAATATTACAGGAGAAACTTCCACTTTCTAAAATCCCAGCAACAGTAGAACGTATTTCGCCCACATCACAAGGAGGCCTAGAGGTTTTCTGCCAAACCTCAAAAGATATCGAAGAACTTCAAGTCCATATCCAAAAAGCACAGCTAGATGTCGATGTCCAACAACGCAAAAGACGCCGCCCCAGATGCGCGGTCCACAATGTCCCAGAAAACGTGGCACCAGAAAAACTCATCACTGAAATTAGTTCGACTGCAGGAGTTTCCGCCAAAGAATTTAAGGCCCTTTTCAGGCTACGAGAAAGGAGACCCAACAGGGTCAAATGGGTATTTGAATGTTCTTCAGAAGGATTTGCCGCAGCCATTCGCATCAAAAGAGTGTTCACCGCCTGGCAGTCGCACAGCATCACGGAGTTCTTGGGCATCAGAAGATGCTATAAAATGCCAGCAGTTTGGCCATGCCCAAGACTCCTGCCACTTCCAAGAAGTTCTATTGTGCTTACTGCTCCGGACACCACCCCACAAAGGAGTGCACGGCGGAAATCCTTCCTTCCTGCATTAACTGTGGGGATTCCAACTGTCGCTTTGGAACGAAAATTAACTTCCAGCACCCCGCTTTTGCCACGGACTGTCCAATTTATCAACGAACGGTTGCCAACGTCCGAGGTAACATCGGACTACTAGAGCAGCATGCGCGCATACCACCCAAGTCCAACAGGACATCCCCGTGCCCGCACAAGAGGTAGACAACGCAGGAACGGTAATGTTAAGAACATCAGAAGCAGCAGGCAAAATACCGGAGATGCACAACAGTTGTATAACGGCTCTGATATAAATAACGAGTTAATTCGAAGGGATGCCCCTATAAAATTCCTTCAGATAAATCTACAACATGCGCGGGCAGCGGTTGCACAGTCCATCCAGTATGCGTTAGATAACAGTATTGACATCATAATTGCTCAAGAACCTTACACCAGGAACGGGGCAGCAGTCGGTTTTCCGATTCAGTGGACAGTGATTCAAAAACCAAGCCAGGAACATCCGCCCAGGGCGATAATAGTCTGTTGCAATCCTGAATGGTCACCAACAGTTGCTGCATTGGAACAGGATAACGTAGCGATCTTACTAGAGGTCCTATCTATGTCCCTCATTGTAACCTCTAATTACTCGCCACCCACGGCAGATATCGGTACGACAACAGGATTCCTAAATAGGATTATTTACCAGCACAGGCTACCAGACATGATAATTGCAGGGGATTTTAATGCCCACAATACAGCCTGGGGATATCGCGCAACCGATAGCAAAGGACAAGCAATGGAGGACTTTATCTCTTCTAACAACCTTGTTCTCCAAAACACAACAGAAGCACCTCCTTCTTTTGACAGAGTATTCGCACAGGGGTGGCCAGACCTCACTTTGACTACCCCACACACTGCCCCCTTCCTCCAGGACTGGAAGGTAGTAGATGAAGAGAGCCTAAGCGACCATAAGTATATAACCTTTACACTCGCAAAGCATACTATCGTTTCGAAAATCCGTCGATATAACCTTCCAGGACGGAAGATTAAGACATTCGCCAAGAAAATTAAAGAGCAGCTAATATTTTTGGAGCCAACGCTACAGCCACTGACTACAGCGGATGAGCTTGAGGATTTCACGACCAAACTACAAACGTCAATACAAAATATCTGCAACCAATGCCTCCCTGTTCGAAAGCCCAAAAAGCTACAGGGAATAAACTGGTGGTCAAGCTCACTAAGAACTCAGCAGTCTAAATGCAGACCCGGAATGCAGTCTCCGGAGGAGATTAAAAAGCGAGCGAAGACTGGGAACACAGTCTGACACCCTGACTATCTACCAAAAGGAACGGGCGACATATAAACGAATGATAATTCAAGCCGAAATTGCCTCTTGGCGTGAGTTCTGTACTCACACCAAGGAGATTTATGGCATCCACCACGAAATCGCCACTGCTAAAATCTTCAAACCGACGCAGCTACAAATACCTTCTTCCCAGACTACTGCGCAAAGCCACACAGAAGAAACCATAAGGGCAATTCTTAACCAGGCATTTAGTCAGGATGATGCTCAACACGACACAGAGCAGCAAGCCAATCTACGCTTAGTTTCAAATTCACTGGACACTGACGCGGACCTGGATATAACAATCACCGAGCTTAAGAACATTTTACGTACCCTTCCAAAGAAAAAGCCCCCGGACCAGACGGGTCGATTATGCAATAGTCAAGATTATAATCCAAGCACATCCAATGTTTTTTGTTGCCTTTTTCAATAAATTATTACTCACAGGGACTTTCCCCAAAGCTTATAAAATTGGACAAGTCATTCTCTTCCTAAAGAGAAATAGGAACCCCGATGATTTAACAGCCTATAGGCCCATTTGCCTATTGTCGGCCATGGGTAAAATCCTAGAGAAGATAATCATGAGCAGACTGCAACACCATCTGCATAGGACCAATTTTCTGAGCCCCAACACATACGGCTTCCGTCCAGGAACCTCTACTATCCATGCTCTCACTAATATCCGAGATGCAATTTTAGAAAATCGAAAAGCGGCCACCATACAGCCTTGGTCAGTATCGATCTTAAGAGTGCTTTCGACACTTTATGGTGGCCAGCTATAAAAAGTGCACTCAGAAAGTCTAATTGCCCCAGCAACATATATTCTATACTATGCAACTACCTAAAGGACAGGCGACTCTTAGCCGTCCACAATGCTGGAATCTTGGATATGGTACAAACAAGAGGATGTCCACAAGGGTCGTGCGCGGGGCCACACTTATGGAACATAACGTTTAATGAAGTGCTCTCTGCCGCATGGCCCGCGCACACCCAAATCTTCGCCTATGCTGATGACGCTGCAATGGTCGTCAAGGGACGGACTAGGGACGGTTCTCCAGACAAACTGTAACGAAGTGTGTCACATCTTTTATGTCAGGTGCACCAATCTTAAACTGCAAAATAGCAGATCATAAATCTAAAATCCTCTTGATCCCCTAAGAAAGGCGGATCACTTGCAAGGACGCCCTACGATCAAACTAAATGGGCAGAGAATTAAAATTGTGAATACCTTGAAATATCTGGGTGTCACTTTGATACTAAAATGACGTGGATCCCCCACATTCAAGATCTCAAGCTAAGAACCAAGTGCTATAGTTAAGCAAATGCGCCAGTTTTATGGTTATAAGTGGGGACTCAATGAATCCACACATACAAAAAGTGTTATATACGACAGTAGTGGAAAAGATTAGCTACATATTTTATATACACAGCAGCAGTTTGGTGTGCCACCCAATTGCAGGGCAGGAAGATTAAACATCTTTATACCATACAACGGCCCTTTCGCATTGGGCATTACAAGGGCCTACCGTACAACCTCATCGGATGCTCTTAATGTATTAGCTGGTCTACTCCCACTACACATACGGAGTTGAAGAAGAGGCGGCCAGACAGATTATACTGTAACTCAAAAAGCCAACTGTGTTTGACGAGGAATACTTCCATCCGGAAGAATATGAAGTCATTGATCGACCACTGCATGTCCACCCAGCGAGCAAAGGCACTGGTGTCAAAGTCACCATCAACCCGTCTACGACTAATTCCCCACACTATTTAACATCTTCACCGACGGCTCCAAAATCGATGAAAAAGCGGGATGCTCATACATAGTCATGCGACAGGATACAATTCAAGCAAGATGGAAGGCACAACTGCGGCAGCATAACAGTGTTTTTCAAGGAGAAGCGATAGCAATTGCCCAAGCAGTTAACTATTTGCTCTCCTCTAACATCCATAATGCCACCATCAAAACCGACAGTTTGTCGTCGTTGCATGCCATCATGAACCCCAACCATGTCAGTAAAATAATACAGGGCATTCAAGCAAATCTGCGCCAATGCAACCTGCACATCAAGCTTGAATGGATCAAAGCACATGCGGGTCATCTCGGAAACGAGATGGCGGACCAACTTGCCAAAGAAGCGGCGTTAGGCCCGACAGACTTGCAGTTCAAAATCCCATGGCCGGTCACATTTCTAAAGAAGTCACTACGACTTAAAGCCATTGGCAAGTGGCAACAAGAATGGGATGACAGTACCACTGGAAGACGTGTCCACTACCACATCAGCTATGTGGACACAGAACGGAACATTGCCAATACACAGCTGGTTAGGTACATTTCGGGACATGGACCTTTTCCTGTATACTTCTACCGATTTGGCATCTGTTCCTCAGATCAATGTACGTGTGGACACACAGGCTCCCCGGAGCACTACCTAACTTCTTGTCCACTCACAGAGGGACAACATGTTCCTATACCAACCAACGACTAACAGACAGTCATTTTGTAAATTCCTTATTAAGCAGCGCCACTTAATCCAAAAAAATTGGACGTATGATGGATAAGCTGGCAGACCTAAACACAGACTTATGCCAAATATAGCAGTCCGCGCAGCCCTAAGCACACTTGCATATACTCAATGCAATATGAACTGCATAACGTTACAACAGTTACTGTGAAATTTGTAATGAATGGACGCCTAAACTCTGCGTCTGATTTTACACCCAATATGCAAACCACATAGGCACATGTAATATTAAAATGCAATAGTATCTGTAAGTTTGTTCCAAATGTAATCTGCAAATTGCAAACTGTGCGTATGTGTGTCTAAGACAAAATGTGCTATACTACAGTTCAAATGTATTGATGTAACTCCAACATAGTAAGCGAAGCTATAATGTAACCAGTGTTCAAGTCATTGATTTATATGTAACGTGTGTTTAATGTAAATATAGTGTCTAAACTATTGATTGTACTCAGTATATGTTTTTTTTTATATTTATGATATTTGTGTATGTTTTTTATATTTTAGCATGGTTTCTTCATATAACTGTCCAATGGTTTATTGTACCGATTTTATGTAACATATGCTTACTGTACCCATGATATCAGGGACTGTATTCTGTATTGTAGCATGCTCCCACATATGGTTATCCTATGCAATTTTGTGTAACTGTCTTCCATGCTTTACCCCTGTATGTATATAACTATGTTCCATAGCATATTCTAACACGCACCTGTGAGGCGCAGTAAGTGAAGTTTTAACGCAACCAGAGTTTCAGTCCTTGATATATATATATATATAATGTTTGTTTAATGTAGACAAACTCAGTCATTGATTTTCATGTAATGTATGTGTAATGTATATATGATATCAGTGTTTGTATTTTATATTTAAGCATGTCTCTACATATGACTGTATCATGCATTAATATGTAATTGTTTTTCATGTTTTACCCCTGCATGTACATGGCTATGTACCATGGAATATTTTAACATGCTCCAGAGTAGCGCAATAGCATCTGAGTCTTTGATATATGTCAGGTTAATGTAAACATAGTATCTCAGTCACTATTTTTTATGTAACATATGTTTAGTGTTTATATAATATTGTTTCCATAATCGTTATGTAACTCTCCACAAGTTTCATCCCTGCATGTAAATAACTATGTACATAGATTATTTTAACGTGCCCCTGTGTGGTGCAGTTAAGTGAAGATTTAATGCAACCAGTGCCTTCATTTTTGATATTTAGGCTACGCCTTTTTAATGTAGATATAGTATTTTAGACATTAAATTTCATGTAACGTGTGTGTAATGTATGTGTAATGTATCTAGATGTTTCCATGTAATGTATGTGTAATGTATCTATGATATCTGTGTTTGTATCTTATAATTCAGCATGTCTCCACATATGATTGTCTTATGCATTATTATCTAACTGTTTTCTATGCCTTACTTACCCCTGCACATATATAACCTTGTACCATAGAATACTTTAATATGTGGCTGTGTAGCGCAATAAGTGAAGCTTAAAGCACAGCGTCTGAGTCTGTGATATCCATACAATGTCTGTCCAATGTAAACATAGTATCCAAGTCATTAATGTTTACGTAACAAAAGTTTAATGTATTTAGGATATTGGGTGTTAATAATTGTTAAGTAACTTTTTCCATGTTTTACCCCTGCATGTAAATAACTATGTACCATAGAATATTTTAACGCGCCCCTGTGTGGAGTAGTAAGTGAAATTTTAATGCAACTAGTGCCTCAGTCCTTTGATATTTAGGTAATGTTTGATTAATGTAGGTATAATAGTATGTTAGTTATTGATTTTTATGTAACATATGTTTAATGTATCTATGATATCTGTGTTGGTATGTTATATTTCAGCATATCTCTACATATAATTGTTTTATGCATTATCATCTTACTGTTTCCATATCCTACCCCTGCATGCATATAACCTTGTACAGTAGAACATTTTATCTTACGCCAGTCAGGCGCAATAAGTGAAATCTAATGCACCTAGGCGTCCGAGTCCTTGATATTTATATTGACACTGGTGGACGTGGCGCTACACCAATTAACCATATGGTAAAGGGGTGGTGCCCACGTCCTCCGTCGCATGTCGCATGCGACACTGTGACGTCTGTTTTGTCTGAATGCATTATGAGAATTCAAGTAAAAGCCAAACAACATTTAGGTACTGTACAAATTTATGGCACAATGAATAAATTGTGCCTTTACCATAAAGCTGAGACTTTTAACACCAAGTTGTATTCAGTAAGAGTTAAAAATATTTCGTTAATAAAGCAAAATGATTATATTTGAAAATACAACAGTGTAACGAATTTTGTACATATGTGAATAATTTTAGTCAAATTATATGTAAAATTTTAATACCTTATGTATCGTGTAAAAGACAAAGCTCTATCGGAAAAATAAAATTACAGGAGCAAGTCTATTTAACATTGAGTTA